TGCTATTGCTATTGCTATTGCTACTTGTCCCAGTCACTTTAGCAGTTCGAAAGCATGTAAAAAATGAAAGTAGAAAAATAGGTACCACCTTTGGTGGGAAGGTAACAGCGTTCTGTGTGCCTTCGGCATTTAGTCATGCCAGCCACATGACCACGGAGATGTCTTTGGACAGCGCTGGCTCTTTGGCTTTGAAATGGAGATGAACACTGCCCCCTAGAGTCGGGAACAACTAGCACAGATGTACAAGGGGAACCTTTACCTTTTATCCTTTTTTGTATCTCCCAGGGCCTTGTTAGTTCTATTTGTGCTTCCTGCAAGGTGTAACTCGATTTTACCCATTTTTGTAAAATATTTTCCAAAGTTTGTATCTTACAAAGCAAAGCTACTCTGATATTTTGGAGTTTTTTTGTTTTTTGTTTCTGTGTGCAACCTCCCCCCCCCCGCCCCAACCCTCAAGTGTCTGAGATCAGACAGATATATACATTCCATAACTTAATATTTTTCTGATCTTAGCCATTGCCGATTGCGGAATGCAGAAAGAATACTTAAACTCGTAGGACTGGAAGAGCCGTTCATTTGTTTTCCTGTAACTGCGGTAGCTTCAGAGAATAACGTGCGAATTCTTTTGTCTCTTTGCAGTCCCTGCTTGTCACCGTAAGAACCGTGCATGTGATTTTACGGTAAGCATTATATCCATGTCGAACAGGTTGTGTAGGAATTCCTTAACAAAATGGGTGTGATTGCAAGCTCAGATTGTCGTTCATCTGACCTAAGGAGGGGGGGGTGTTAAGTGCGTTGTGGAAATTGTTGAGTAACTAAGTTAATTTTTTTGTAAAGGTGACCCCGATGGAATGAATGAGATCATAGCTGAAAACAGATCTAATATGGTAGCCTTCAACTTACAACCATTCATTTAGTGGCGGTTTGAAGTTACAGCGGCACTGAAATATGTGACTTAACGACCGTTTTTCACTGTTACAACCGTAGCAGTATCCCCTTGGTCACATGATCAAAATTCAGATACTTGGCAACAGATTCATATTTATGACGGTTGCAGAGTCACGGGGTGGCGGGTGTGTGTGTGTGTCACGTGATCCCCTTTTGCGTCCTCCTGACGAGCAGCGTCCATAGGGAAGCCAGATTCACTTAACGGCCATATGACTGTCATAATGGCAGTGATTTGCCTAACTGAGGAGGCACGAAAAGTCGTAAAATAGAACAAAACTCACTTAACAGCGGTCTTGCATAGTAACAGAAATTTTGGGCTAAGTTGCAGTTGTTGGAAACGGTTTAGACNTCCATCCATCCATCCATCCATCCATCCATCCATCCATCCATGATGAGCAGTGGTTAGAATGAAGTACTGCAGGCTAACTCTGCCGACTGCCAACAGTTACACCAGAGCAGTGGTAGTGCAATTTAGTATTGCAGGATGACTCTGCCCACCGCCAGCAGTTCAATCCTGACTGGATCAAGGTGGACTCAGGCTCCCATCATTCCGAGGTAGATAAAATGAGGTTCCAGGTTGTTGGGGCAAGAGGCTGACTCTGTAAACCGCTTAGAGTGGGCTAAAAGCACTGTAAAGCGGTATATAAGTCTTAAGTGCTATTGCTATGGCTACAACGTCATTGAAAAAAGTGACATGACCAATTTTCACACGTACGACCATTGCGGCATCCCCATGCTCAGAGGATCAAAATTAGGATGCCAGGCCACTGGTTCCTATTTATGACGGTCACAGGCCAGATTCACTCAACAAACCCTGTTACTAATTTAACAATTGCATTGATTTGCTTAACAGCTGTGGCAAGAAAGTTTACAAAGCAGGGCAAAGTTCTCTTAACCATTGTCTCACTTAGCAACAGAAGTGTTGGGCTCAAATTGCGGTTGTAAGTCGAGAATTGCCCGTGTCACTCAGAACAACTTAAAAGAGGCTTTTTAAAGCGGAATTGAAGTTTTCCTTTCAAGCAACTTCAGGTAGTCCTTGAACTTAAACCATTTGTATAAGTTATAACGGCCCTGGAACAAGCGACTTAGGACTGGTCCTTGCATCTACGACCGGCCTAGCCCATGACGTTCATGGGATCTCTCTGCAACCGGCAATGGCTTTAGGACAATCATGATCATTATTTGAGACCTTTCCAGCTGGCTAAGTCAATAGGAGAAGCCAGATTTGCTTAATGATCACATGATTCACTGGAAAAAAAACACGCAGTGGTTCCCTTAGCTATTGTAGTACACAGGTTGTACAGTTGGACATGAGTCACTTAGCAACCTGCCTGCTTAGCAACAGAATTTCTTCATCTTATATATATATGTTCAAGAACTAAAATAAAGGCGTCTTCCCCCCCCCCCTTTTTTTTAAAGGGACACGGTGGCTCAGTGGTTAAGCTTGTTGATCAGAAGGTTGGCAGTTCAGCAATTTGAATCCCTAGCGCCGCATAATGGAGTGAGCTCCCGTTACTTGTCCCAGCTTCTGCCACCCTAGCAGTTCGAAAGCATGCAAAAACGCAAGTAGAAAAATAGGGTCCACCTTTGGTGGGAAGGGAACAGCGTTCTGTTTGGCAGTTCGAATCCCTAGCGCCACGTAACAGAGTGAGCTCCCGTTACTTGTCCCAGCTTCTGCCAACCTAGCAGTTTGAAAGCAGGTTAAAATATGCAAGTAGGAAAATAGGGACCACCTTTGGTGGGAAGGTAACAGCGTTCTGTTCGGCAGTTGGAATCCCTAATGCCACGTAACAGATTGAGCTCCCATTACTTGCTTCTGCCAACCTAGCAGTTCGAAAGCATGTAAAAATGCAAGTAGAAAAATAGGGTCCACCTTTGGTGGGAAGGTAACAGCGTTCTGTGTGCCTTCGGCATTTAGTCATGCCAGCCACATGACCACGGAGATGTCTTTGGACAGCGCTGGCTCTTTGGCTTTGAAATGGAGATGAACACTGCCCCCTAGAGTCGGGAACAACTAGCACAGATGTACAAGGGGAACCTTTACCTTTTATCCTTTTTTGTATCTCCCAGGGCCTTGTTAGTTCTATTTGTGCTTCCTGCAAGGTGTAACTCGATTTTACCCATTTTTGTAAAATATTTTCCAAAGTTTGTATCTTACAAAGCAAAGCTACTCTGATATTTTGGAGTTTTTTTGTTTTTTGTTTCTGTGTGCAACCTCCCCCCCCCGCCCCAACCCTCAAGTGTCTGAGATCAGACAGATATATACATTCCATAACTTAATATTTTTCTGATCTTAGCCATTGCCGATTGCGGAATGCAGAAAGAATACTTAAACTCGTAGGACTGGAAGAGCCGTTCATTTGTTTTCCTGTAACTGCGGTAGCTTCAGAGAATAACGTGCGAATTCTTTTGTCTCTTTGCAGTCCCTGCTTGTCACCGTAAGAACCGTGCATGTGATTTTACGGTAAGCATTATATCCATGTCGAACAGGTTGTGTAGGAATTCCTTAACAAAATGGGTGTGATTGCAAGCTCAGATTGTCGTTCATCTGACCTAAGGAGGGGGGGGTGTTAAGTGCGTTGTGGAAATTGTTGAGTAACTAAGTTAATTTTTTTGTAAAGGTGACCCCGATGGAATGAATGAGATCATAGCTGAAAACAGATCTAATATGGTAGCCTTCAACTTACAACCATTCATTTAGTGGCGGTTTGAAGTTACAGCGGCACTGAAATATGTGACTTAACGACCGTTTTTCACTGTTACAACCGTAGCAGTATCCCCTTGGTCACATGATCAAAATTCAGATACTTGGCAACAGATTCATATTTATGACGGTTGCAGAGTCACGGGGTGGCGGGTGTGTGTGTGTGTCACGTGATCCCCTTTTGCGTCCTCCTGACGAGCAGCGTCCATAGGGAAGCCAGATTCACTTAACGGCCATATGACTGTCATAATGGCAGTGATTTGCCTAACTGAGGAGGCACGAAAAGTCGTAAAATAGAACAAAACTCACTTAACAGCGGTCTTGCATAGTAACAGAAATTTTGGGCTAAGTTGCAGTTGTTGGAAACGGTTTAGACGTTTTTTTTTTTTTTTAACTTTGTCTCGAGGCTCGTAAAATTAATTAGGTCAGCTCTTGGAAACTTAGTCGTAAATTGATAACTATCTGTACCTGGAGTACGCCTATGGCAGATGAGCATTCTTGCACTATGTCAGAGCCACAAAATTGAGGTGGTTTTGCTCCCGCGTTGCCTAATAGTTATTTGCACAACATCCAATGTAGAGGTGGGTCAAGATTTTCCCCTTAACCCTCCACCCATTTTCACCCCTCCATCTATTTACCCTTAAGAAACATAAAATAATAGAGTTGGAAGGGACCGTGGAGGTCTTCTAGTCCACCCCCATGCTCGAACAACCCCCATTTAGTAGGATGGGCAGTGTAACCATTCTCATGCAGCCAACAGTGTCTTCTCCAGGTTCGTAGTTCCACCTTGTACTGGAACACGCCTGATGTGTCTCCCCAAGTTACGTCTGCTCTCTGCATATGGGATTCATATTCCCACTTGGGCTAAAGGGAAGGGGAAGAAAATATTGACCCCATAGTTTGTAGCTGGATTACCCATTGTGGGATTATCGGTAAGTGTGTAGATTGGCATCTGAGGGGCCCTTGGTGCTCTCTGAGCTTGATTTTTTTCCCCGTCTGCAAGAAATCAACCCAGTTTAGAGAGCGCCAAGGACCCCTCATTTCAACCCCGAGTAACAAATCTCCTCCTTTTATTGATATTGGCACCTGTTAGCAGTCTAGACTTTTGCTGCTGCTCTCTCACCCTGTCGAACTGGCAGGGGGAATCAATGCAGGATTTCTCTTTCCTTCACCCAGTTACATCATCCATCTCTGGGATCTGAATCACGAAGGCACCTGGGAGAGCAAAGGCACCTATGTTTATTACACCGATTTCATCATGGAGCTGATGCTGCTGTCCCTGGATTTGATGCATCACATTCACATGCTGGTATAAAGGCTTAATAAATCATTTGGCGAGTCCCCATCCTTGGGGCAGATGTTGCGTAGGGCCAGCCTTCATAAAATGCAGAGGGGGCGTGACAACTAGCCGCGGCCAACTCTTCGTGGGACAAGAGTGACACTCCTAGAGAAGAAATGGTGGAACAGAATCATTAAAGGAAGGGTGCCAAAGGAGGGATAAAATGAAATGTGAATGACAGATATTACAATAATCTTTTAGTTATTTTATATAACTAGATTGAATTGTCCCATGGCAAGTCAGCCGTGATTAAGTTGGCCGTGGCGAATTGGCCATGGCGAGTTGACTCAGTTAACTGCCTCATTTAGCAACTTAAAATTTGGGCTTAATGGTGGTCGTAAGTCGACTGCCTGTATTCCGCACCTACTAGGGTTTCCTTTATGTTGCTTTGTACCAGGATAAAAAAGCAAGGCTGTTTTTTTTTGAGGGGGGGGGGTTGGGGCGAGAACTTCCACTAAATCAGGGGTCGGCCACCCGTGGCTCTGGAGCCCGCATGTGGCTCTTTCATCCCTCTGCTGCGGCTCCCTGTCGCTGGTCAGGGCTTTTGGTTAGGACAGGTAGAGGAAAAAGGACACTGCACTAGGAGGAGACTCTATGGTGGGGGAACAAAGCTTCCGGTCGGCAGAAGAAAAAGGACGCCACACTAGGAGGAGACTTTATGGTGTGGGGAACCAGACTTCCAGTCGGCTCCAGAATTGAACGAGGGATTTCTGGTTAGGACCTTTGTGGCTCTTTGGGTATTTAAGGTTGTTGACCCCTGCACTAAATAATAATCTGAAAGAGAATCCCCAAGCAATTTATATCTGTTAAGGCTTGAAAGCAAAAAAAAAAAAAAAAAGGGGGGGGGGGTTCTTGAAAGTTTTGGGCTGCATGTTGCAGATTCCAACTGAGAATCGTGTACTTTTCTGAAATTAGTCGGCAATATAAAATACAAAAATACAAAAGAAAATAGGAGGAAAAACAGGGAGGCTGGAGGGGAGGGAAAAGAGTAGGAAAAAGGGAAAAAAAGAAAGAAAAGGTGTTGACTTACGATTCCCTTTGGTGCAATAGAATAAGATAACACCAAATCCCAACTTTTTACTTTTACTTACTAGTATAAACTAGCCCTTTCTATAACAGGAAACCTATGTCATGGGTAAAACCCCAAATCAAAGATTCATCCCCCCCCCCCCCCAAAGCAGAAAGTCCAGAAGCGGTTTCCATGCAGAAACAGAAGTACTGGTGTTCCTTTCTTTAATCAGAAAAGTCAATTTAGTCATCTCTGCTAACTCCATCAACTTTTGCAGCCATTCATCCATTCTGGGAATCAAAAGTTTCCTTCTAGTTTTGTGCATACATAAAGTATTTGTGTCCTGAATAGGATAAACGCTTGGTTGAAGAAGGTCTGGCCTGGCCTCGTGAAATAATTCTCTTTTCTTTATTTGCATTCTTCCTCTCGCAACGGTGATTTGCTTTCCTGTTCTCTTCTTGGGAAAAAAATATATTTGGAAGCTGTTTGGCAACATTTGGTTGTCGATGGCCAGTCTGGTGATCTTTATGCAGCTGCGTTACCTGTTCCATGAAGTTCAGCGCAGACTGCGGCGCCATAAGAATTACCTGCGGGTGGTTGGAAACATGGAAGCAAGGTGGGTCTCTTCCTTTAATTCTAGAGCGAGAAATAATGAACCCCGCTCTCCCCCCCATCCTAGAGCCACATGTGTCTTGTGCTTTTGGGGGGAATTGGGGTGAGTTTGCAAAATAATTACAACACAACATTCTTTATTGTCCGAGGGTGATTAGACACACAAGGAATTTGTCTCTGGTGCATAAACTGTCACAGGGCATACAAGCAACAAAGTGATAAATCATAAGATACCAATAGGAGAAGGTAATAGGAAAGATGAGAAGGATCGCAATAGCAATAGAACTTAGATTTATATACCGCTTCGCAGTGCTTTGCAGCCCTCTCTAAGCGGTTTACAGAGTCAGCATATTGCTCCCGACAGTCTGGGTCCTCATTTTACTGACCTCGGGGGGATGGAGGGCTGAGTCAACCTTGAGCCAGTCAGGATTGAACTGCTTTGGGCAGAATTAGCCCGAAATACTGCATTCTAACTACTGGGAGGGAAGGAAGGAAGGAAGGGAGGGAGGGAGGGAGGGAGGAAGGAAAGAAGGAAAATAACAATAGCATTTAAATTTATATACCCTTCACAGTGCTTTACAGCCCTCTCTAAGCAGTTTACAGAGTCAGCCTTTTGCCCCCAACAATCTGGGTCCTCATTTTACTGACCTTGGAAGAATGGAAGGCTGAGTCAACCTTGAGCCGGTCAGGATCGAACTGCTTTAGGCAGAGTTAGCCTGAAATACTGCATTCTAACTACTGGGAGGGAAGGAAGGAAGGAAGGAAGGAAGGAAGGAAGGAAGACAGACAGACAGACAGATAGACGGACAGACAGCAATAGCACTTAAGACTTATTTACCGCTTAACAGTGCTTTGTAGCCCTCTCTAAGCAGTTTACAGAGTCAGCCTCTTGTCCCCAACAATCTGGGTCCTCATTTTACCTACCTCGGAAGGAGGAAGGCTGAGTCAACCTTGAGCTGGTCAGGATCAAACTGCTGGAGTGAGCAGTGAGTTAGCCTGCAGTACTGCATTCTAACCACTGTGCCACCACGGCTCAATATGGGATAATAGTCATACAACCCTACTACGTGGGTAAATGCCTTTAGACATTCCCACAGTGGTGTGGAAATTAGGCATTCAGCAGAGTGATGGCATGGGGTGGGGGCGGGGGAAACTACATTTACTATATGTTAAATGTCTCTAGGGGTTCTCAGTCATCCAGGACATGGTTGTCCCAAAGGTGCTTTTTCAAAAAAAAAAAAAAAAGCTTTGTTTTTCTTTGTAGACATTTTGCTGCTCATCGAAGAAGCAGAGCTGAAGAAGCTTCTTGGATGAGAAGTGAAATGTCTTCAAAAAAACCCCAGAAAGTTTGTGTCTAGTTGTTTTGACATGCGACGCGCCATAGCAGCATCTTGAGGGGAGGAGTTGAAACAGTTTATGTCCAGGAGGTGAGGGGTCTGTAGATGTTTTCTCAGCCCTCTTTCTGGTTCCTGCAGTGTCCAGGTCCTCAATGGAAGGCAGGCTGGTTGCAATGGTTTCTTTCTGCAGTTCCAACTATCTCTTGAAGTCTCGGAGGTGGGCTTCAAAAATTTTAGCAAGGGATTCTCTGCCNCTTCACAGTGCTTTTACAGCCCTCTCTAAGCGCCTTACAGAGTCAGCCTCTTGCTCCCAACAATCTGGGTTCTCATTTTACCGACCTCAAAAGGATGGAAGGCTGAGTCAACCTTGAGCCGCTCAGAATCTACATTGAAACTGCATAGTCCTTTGATTCTTTATTTGACACCTATCACAAAATCTATAAACAGTTGAGGTGATCTGTATCGGATTTACAATTCCCAGCTCCTTGTGTTCCTGGAAGTTGGTTGTGCAGGCGGTTATGCAGCTCAGCTTTACCAAGTGACTGGAGACCTTGTCTATTTTAGCTTGATTGACGGGAGCCATTAAATACCTGGGTCCTTTTGCAGTGACATCACATTCCTTTCTTGTGTTCGGTGTGTCATTGTGATGACCCTCAGCCCCCCCTCCCCCTTTTTTGTTTTTGGCATCAGGATAGGCCTGGCAGAGATCCTAAGTAGCAATGGATTGTTCTGAACCGCACTTCATTAAACAAAATCCATCTTATTTCTTTTAAAAAAGGTTTTTGTTAAATACAGGGATTTAACTCGACTTACAACACTTCATTTCGTGACAGTTCCAAATTACGCCGGCACTGAAAAAAATCTGACTTAGAACTTTCCCCCCCACACTTAACAACCGTTGCAGCATCCCCGTGATCACAATTCAGACGCTTGACAACTGATTCACATTTATGACGGTCCCCGTGTCCTCGGGGACATTGTTATCCCCTTTTGCGACCTTTTGACAAGCAAAATTGAGGGGGAAGCCACTTAACAACCGTGTTACTAACTTAACTGCGGTGATTCACTTAACAACCCTAGGCAAGGGAAGATCGTAAAATGGGGCAACATTGATTTAACAAGTGTCTCACTTAGTAATGTAAATTTTGGGCTCAATTGTGGTCGTAAGTCGAGGTCTACCTGTAGTTCCTTAGTTTGTATTTTGAGCCTGTCCTCCATAGGAATTGCAAGCTTTTCCTGTTTAGCAGAGTTAGAAATATTCGCTTCCTCTTTCAAGTTACTTAATACGACCGTCATTTTCTGTTACATACTACTCATCATTTTTACTTTCGTCTCGTAAATCGTCCATGGATTCAGTGTTAGGTTTCTCTCTCAAACACACTGAATTAAAAAATAGTAATCAGCATACTATCCTGGTGCTGTAAACCAATAGAATCTGAATTAGCACAGTTAGTCCTTGACTTACAACAGTTCACTTAGTTGTAATGTAATTGCAACATTACAACGAACTGAGGTGGAGCAGTGGTTAGAGTGCAGCACTGCAGGCTACTTCAGCTGACTGCTAGCTGCAGTTCAGCAGTTCAAATCTGTGAAGCTGTATATAAGTCTAAGTGCTATTGCTCTTCCCTCCCTCCCTCCNGGGGGGGGGAGGCATTTTTGCCCTCCCTGTGTGGTATGCCCCAGTATGGGCATACCGGTGTCTGCTGGGAGCAGCAGCCACCATACCAGAATGGTGCTTTGGAGGGCCCACCTGCCTGCTCTTGTTCCTTACCTGTATTTGAGCCAACTGGGCCATTTGCGCGTACATGCCCAGCGCATGGCGCCAGACCAACGCTCCGCCAAGCAGCTGGAGCATCGCAGGGCAGTGGGTGTGCAGCACACGTACTCATGTTTGACGCCCGGCCTCCTTTCAGCATACCGGTTGCGACAGGATCCAGAACCCACCACTGCTCCGGAGGCTTTTCTTGAGCCTCCGGAAGGATGAAAATGGCCTCCCCAAGCTCCGGAGGCTGGAAATGGACCCATTTTCGGCCTTCCTGAACTTCCGGTAGGCTTGTTTTTCACCCTTCCCGAGCCTCTGTGCGCGCCCTGCACTTAACTTGTATCCAAAACGGGCCGCGTGGAGACTCCTGGGAGGGGTGGGGTATGGTGGGTGGGGCCAACCAGGAGTGGGATTTGGGGGTTCTCCAAACTACTCAAAATCTTAGCTAGAGGTTCCCCCGAACCCGCACGAATCCCCCGCAGCCCATCACTGCTTAGGACTGGTCCTCACACACTCATGACCGTCTCAGCATCCCCGATGTTCATGTGATCAAAATTTGGGCCCATGGCAACTGGCCTGTGTTTACAACCATTGTAGCATCCTGGGGTCTTTTGATTGCCATTTTCAACCTTCCCAGCCAGCTTTCGACAAGCAATGTCAGTAGGGGAAGCTGGGTTCTCTTAATGACCACACAATTCACTTAACGACTCCAGTGATTTGCTTAGCCGTGGCAAAAATGGTGATATAATCAGGTGCAATTCGTTTAACAACCACCTTGCGTAGCAAGTGAAATTCTTTTCTCAATTGTGGTCGTAAGTTGAAAACTGCCTTGTAGTTATGGCCTCCTGAATTGACAGTCTGGCTCACCTTGTTGTCTGGTCTCTCTTGGCTTTTCCTAGGTTTGCAGTGGCGACTCCTGAAGAATTGGCCTCCAACAACGATGACTGTGCCATTTGCTGGGATTCCATGCAGGCCGCCCGGAAGCTCCCTTGCGGCCACCTCTTCCATAAGTAAGTCCTGGGGGGACAATAGGCTCCCTTATGGCCGTATGTCGAGAGCTACCTGCATGGACAATTCATTGGATTGCAGTAAACTGCTCTCAGTCTTGATAAATTTAAAGGTGTACACGGAATATAAACGAACCAGTTTTGCATGATGCCACTGGTTCCCCGAGAGACCTCCAGAATCAAATTGGGGTACCCTATAAAGATGGTATATTTATCCGAATGTTATTTCTTTGTATTTACCGTATTTTTCAAAGTATAAGATATTCCAAAGTATAAGACGCACCTAGCTTTTGGGAAGGAAAACAAGGGAAAAATATCTGCCTCTGCCTCCCAGCAATTTGCCTCCTTGCAATAAACAGCAAGCAGTACAGACAATATGCACTGTTTGTGGTGTTACATTTCAGACTATACTTGTACAGATGCTGTTAAAATTGATGTGCTCTCTGGAAGTATAGTTGTTCTCTGCTATTTAAAAGAAGATACAATAGCACTGGGCCTCTTCAGATCTAGCATTTATTTTCAAAAGCTTCTTCATTTTGTTAAGCTGTCTAGAACAATAATAAAGCAGTCTTTAAAAAATAAGTCTAATAATTTGA